GTTGTGTGTCCAGCTGCATAACAAGCTGAGCTTTCAGATAGGTATGGCAGCACATACAAAATGATTAGATTAAAAAAATAAAACGGTAAAAGGTTTTGTGTCTACAATTACACTCTGATCAACACCACCTTTTGGGATCAGTGTTAAGCTCGGATTCATTAAACATCCTTATTAATGATATGGAAGGAAAGGAAACAGCATGTTAATGAAATTCACAGATGATATTAAATGGAAAATATTGCAGACTCCAGAGACAGTAAAAAAAACTATACAAAGGGATGCAATGATGCTAGAGAAACAGATAGGAAAGCAAATGACTCTTACCCCCCAAAATACAAGTTAATAAATATGAGCAAAAATAATCCAGGTAGATTTCATAGACATTAGGGCTGGAAGGGGCTTCGGAAGATCATCAAGTCCATCCCCCTGCCCCAAGTGCAAGAAGTCAGCTGGGGTCATAGGATCCCAGCAAGAAAAACTTCCAGGTTTCTCTTGAAGGTGTTCAAAGTAAGTGCTTGAACCACTGCCGGTGGCAGGCCATTCCAGACCTTGGGGGCTCGGACAGTAAAGAAGTTCTTCCTTATGTCCAGCCTGAAATGGTCTTGCAGGAGTTTATAACCATTCGACCTTGTCATCCCTTGGGCTGCTCTGGTGAACAAACATTCCCCCAGGTCCTGGTGAGCACCCCTTATAAACTTATAGGTGGCCATCAGGTCACCCCTGAGCAAAAGTCCCATGGCTCTCAGCCTGTCATCATAAGGTCTGTTTTCCTGACCTTTGATCATGCACGTGGCTCTCCTCTGCACCCTCTCAAGCTTCTTCACATCCTTTTTGAATTGTGGGGCCCAAAACTGGACGCAGTATTCCAGCTGCAGCCTCACTAAGGCCAAGTACAACAGGAGAATGACGTCCTGGGATTTGCTTGAGAAGCATCTATGGATGCAAGCCAGTGTTTTGCTTGCTTTACTAGCTGCAGCATCACATTGAAGGCTCATGCTCATCTTGTGATCAATCCTGACCCCCAAGTCCCTCTTGTCCATAGTGCTAGACAGCGTTGCACTGCCGAGCCTATAGACATACTGCAGGTTTTTCCTCCCAAGGTGAAGAACCTTGCATTTTTCGGTGTTAAATACCATCAGGTTCTCATCCGCCCATTTACTGAGTTTGTCACGGTCAGCCTGGATTACCCCCCTGCCCTCAGGTGTGTATGCTTTACCCCAATGTTTGGTATCATTGGCAAACTTGGCCAATCCGCTTCTGACTCCAATGTCCACATCATTAATGAAGAGGTTGAGCAAAATAGGTCCAAGGACAGAGCCTTGAGGGACCCCACTGGTCACAGGGCACCATGATGATTGACTTCTGCCAATTACCACCCTCTAGGTCTAACCACAGAGCCAATTCCCCAGCCAGCAGATCATGGTGGTAGTTGAGGTAGGTGATACCTGCAAAGTGTCTAACAAAGATCTTGGAGTGGTAGAAAACAACAATTAGACACAAGATTGCAATGGTGTTCAGGTGACCCAATTATTTTTTTGTCATTTAAAGTAACTTTGGATAAGGCACTTGATATTGTACTTTGGGAACTAGCCCTGCAAAAGGAGGGAGAAGAATTGCATGATATAATATCTACTTCACTCAGTAATGACTGGGAGGCTTTTACTTGATGAAGGTGGAGCTATAAACTATGGAAACTGTCCATTATTCTGTTTCAAAGCAGTGCTTCCCCCGCCCCAGTTTTCATCTTACTGTTTAATGTTTGGCAATACATGTTCCAAATCCAATGTAATCTGTTGCAGGCCACTTTTCCTGAGCATAATAATGTGTTTACATTCAGCACCTGAAATTTTGGATAGTATATGCAAAATCCTGAAGTAGAGGGACCTAATTAGGATTACCTGTCAATATTTGCATACCTAACTATGGCCCTTCAGCAGCATTAACCTCTTCTACAAGGCTTTTAAAGATCAAAGGGACTTGTTCATGTTGTCAAGATCTGTCCCTAAAAGCCTACTGAAAAATTAATGACTAAAATACAAGGCAGTTGTTCTTTTCTTTTAGTCATCTCTGTATCAAATACTGAAAACAGTATTAAAAATAATAAAGATTTTTTTAACTATAAATCTTTAAAAGTTGATATGATTGATTCTAAAGATTTGTTCGAAACCCTTATGATCTGTCATTTTAACAGGTAGTGAAACAATTTAACCACATTTTACTTTCTAGACAAGCCATTATATTTCTTTTGGATCAGTTCACTTATTATGGTTTATCATGCAAAATAGATATTTGGACCATTTTCAGTGCACTTTGCTACCACATTACTATATTGCATAATTAATTATGTTGACAGCTGTTAAAACGGTTATTAATATGAACTTCAGAACACAGAAGGGCTCTTTTGTATCTTGTCAGTTCATAGTTTGGAGCTGTTGGAATATTGTGGCACAGCTCATATTGTAGGAAGTGTGCAAAGCCTTATGCTCCAGAACATATTAGCCCTAATTACCCCAAAATCCCTTGTAGATATGTCATTTCATAATTGCCCATTATCGGGTTTCTTGTACCTCTCTGAATCTTTGGGTGTTGACTGTTATTTGTTGAAAGCAGATACTAGAATAAATGAACCATTGCTCTGAGCTGGCATGTCAGTTCTTATAGATTTGTCTTACTTCTGCAGTCAGAACTGCCATTGGATTCCACGTGATTAGGAAAAGGTGATGTGATCTGAGGCCAGGTGGAATAGGAGGGGTATTTCTAGCAGAGGAATATGGTGGTATTGGTTTGGGCTCTCCTGAGCACAGAAATCCAGAGAGCACCAAAACATTATTCAGTTCCCAGCACTGGTAACTATAATTCATCGGGGCCCAAACCCAACAACTTTTAGGCAGTTGAGTAGCACTTTTGCAGCTAAATGTAAATGCACAAGTGGCATTCAGGGCCACTTACATGGATTTTTAGGTTTTTTCAGAGTCTACTTCTACTTCTTTCTAGGCATTCTTACAAAGGATCAAATCCAGCTACTTTTGCTCTCTGACAGTCCTTTTTCACGTAGGAAGATGCATAAACTCCTTGTAAGTCCCTTAAAGATGAAGGGGTATAGAGAATGGGAAAATGGGGGACAAAAACCATGACAAGTGAAGAGGAGTGCCACCTAGGGATTAGTTAGTTTTCCCATGGATAAAACTGTAAACATGATACTTATACACCATTTAGGAATATAAAGTTGGGGGATTTAAATTCCTATCAGTTAGATTTGATGCACTGCTTCTCATCACTCAGGTCTGTGATAGAATACAACTGACGGCAGTAAATGGGAGGCACAGTGGTTTGCTGTCTCAGTGCAAGTCTCCTCTCAATTTTTAGCTGCTGTCCAGTATCAGGAGGCCATTAGCATTCTGTCGTCATCACCAGTACATGGTACCAGAGACAGATGGATAAGTGAGCAGTACTGTGCTCTGGGTGGCGGTGGCACATAGGGCAGTGCAATAGCCAGGCTGCTGGCACCTGTGTGTGGTGGTTGGGAAAGAAGCAGCTGCTGTTTTTGTGCCACCTGTAAATCAGTGCCCAGGGTTGGTGCTTCAATCCACCTCCCCCACCCTCACCCTTTAGTTAGGCTGCCAGCCTGAGGACTCTTTTTAAAATCTTTCTTTTCCACGATGCCTACCAAAACCTTGACAGTGATCAGGCTTCTGGTGTGCTGAAATAACTACCTGTCATATTATTCTACATTGTTTTGTTCCTTCCTTTTGTGCCTTGTCTGACACGTCTCCCAACCAGATAGTTGGTCCAATAAGAGATATCACTTCGCAAACCGTGCTTCTCACATATTCCCTGGCTCATCACAGTGGCAGCAGCACTATGACCCTTGTACTCCTCTCCTCCCCTTTGCCTTAGGTTTAGATTGTAAACTCTTTGTGACAAGAACAATATCTTTATTCTATGTTTGTAAGACATGTAGCACAGAGAGGTCCTGATCCCTGGTAAGGGCTGATATGTGTGATGGTGATGATTACAATGACCACTTATGTCCAAGTTGTTTTAAAGTATGGGTAGAGTTGTAGGTATTACAGAAGGAAGTATGATTTTGTGGAAACTGCATGACTTGACATTTTCACATGGTTTTAACCTTAAATTAGATCCAGCTTAATCTCTGCTCTCTCTCTGAGTGTCATTTGGCTTTGGGAATTTACTCTACCTCAAATATCACAGCAAAGCTCAAGGGGAGCAATCACATGCAAACCCAAACCAAACAAATGGCTACTGAACCACAGTGAACTAACTTCTGAATTGTGCACAATTCTATTAGTTGTCTTAAAGTGGAATTTATATCAGGACATCTAGGATTAACATATCTACTCCTCCAGAAACATCAGGCCTTCAGGTTTACATCTCTACTGATATATAACATCTCCGATTGCACAGTGCCTTCAGTATTGTCTGGATCAGAAAAGTGTCACGCACTAAGATGCCTCCTTCACTGTGTCCAGTAGTACCTTTGGATTTGGTTTGATATCTTTTCAGAACTTCCTCATCTTTACCCCAATTAAATTATGATCACCAGCAAAAGTGGTATTAGTTAGATGGTTTTCTTAATTTTAAGGGGAGTTCCCCACTAAATATGAAATCTAAGGGTTAATCTGGGGGGACTGAAAGAAAACAGAGGATGAGTTAAAAAGTTACCACAGGGCAAGCTTCTCATACCTGAATCCTCATTTTGCCATTGCAGGTTTGCATTTGCCATGAAAGTGCATGTTGTGTGTCCTTGTCCACATGACTCCACAAGTGTGCCTGGCAGTTTCAAACTAAAATAAAATAAAACACATGATAAAGAAAAGCCCTATCATGCTCTTGATGTGCTTTACTCAATTTATTGACTGAATTGCCTGAGTTTCTGATTTCTGTTTTATACGTTTTCCAAGTGTGTTTACTTTAGGTGCATGGCTGTTCCTTGCTCAGTTCCCGTGTCTCACATTGAGGTCTTTGATTCTGATTGCTAGAACCCCCCTGATTGCTGCAGGAGTGATTGGTGGACTCTTCATCATCGTTATTGTGGGCCTGACGTTTGCTGTTTATGTTCGGCGCAAGAGCATTAAGAAAAAGAGGGCCCTACGAAGGTTTCTGGAAACTGAGGTGAGGATGTTTTCTTTTTCACCAAATGGAAAAAAAAAAACATGTATTAGGAAAACTGCATAGTATTGCTCCTCTTTCCTCCTCCTCCTCCTCTTCTCTTTTAGGGCCAAATTCAACTCCTGTTGAAATCCATGGAAACAATCCCACTGATTTCAACTAGACATTACAGAGTGTGTGACTGAAGCTATTCTAAGATATTAGTTTTTCTAAAGACACAATTATTAAACCTAAAAACAAACATTATGATTATGTTGTCTGAAAGCCAAAGCTCAAAACTTCTCCCACCAGAACTTAAGCCATAACTTGTTGAGTCATTTACCGCTTACATAAGTGTTTTGAGTCCTCATCCAAAGCACACTGAAGTAAATGGTAAGATTCCAGTTGTCTTCAGAGAGCTTTGAAGCAGGCTTGTGCTGAACAGGGGCCATCTGAAGCACCTACTTAAATGCAATGATTGTCATATACAGGGATGATCCTACCTTGAGCACAGGCTTGAACTAGATGGCCTCTTGTGGTTCCCTCCAGCCTTATTTTTCTGTGATTTGCAATATATTTGTGCAGTGGCTATAACTAGCTGGGCCAAACCTGTTTGAAGTCTGTATAAATGTTTACTACTCTTCTTGTTATTGCCATTGTAGAATAAAAATAATAGCAGTATTAACTGTATAATGCTTTACATTATGGTGGAGCCATTAGACAAAACTACCAGCCCCATCTTATCCTGCTCACCAATCCCGTTCATTACCTTTTAACACATTACTTTCAGTGGTGCGTCTACATGAGATGTTTTGCTGCACATTAAAAAATTTGCAGTACAGCATCACTGTCTACACGTGCACAGGACTTACTGCACAATAAATTAGGCTGATATGTGTTTTGCTAGTAGCAAGAAATACAGGTACTAGATTAACCACACATTAACTAGTCCGCAGTGGCGCATGTGTAGATGCTGATATTGGGTACAAACTGTGCCCAGTCAGCCACACCAGCAGGGAGCTGGACTCCTGCTTGGGACGAAACCATGTGGCTGGCAGTTGCTCCAAATACATGGCAGGGATGTCTCCTTGGCTGTCCCTGGCTGGCCTCCAGACCCCTGGCCTGACCCCTGGGGCCTGTGCCAGCTGCTGCCTGCCTCCGGGACACCATGCCCCTCTGCTTGCCTCCTGCAGTACCACAGACCCCAGCTCTGCCCCCTGGGGCATCTACTATCAGATGCCTGTCTCCCAGACACTGTGTCCATCCTCTGCAGGCACATGTCAAGCCTCACCAGTACCTGGAGTCCCTGCCTGAGCCCCCAAGCCCCTGGCAGCAACTGTGATGGCAACTTCCCCCATGCTTCAGACGGCATCCTGGGGCCCCAACTGGTCTGAGCAAGAATCTGATGACCTCATTGTTATCTAGGGTGATGCAGAGGTATAGCAGCAGTTTGGCTGGGTTGCCTGGTCAAATGTCCATATCTATGAGGTGATGGTGGCCTGCATGCAGGAGCATGGCTACCAGTGGTGTGGGCACCAGTGCTGAATCAAGGTCAAGGCCCTGCAGGCCCAGTGGGTCCATGTCACAGACCACAACCAGCAGTCTGGAGCTGCCCACAAGACTATGCCCTTCATGCAGCAGCTGGACTGCCCCCTGGCTATGAGGAATCCTGGCAAGGACTGACACACGTATTCTAGCATGGGTGGGCTGCTAGAGCCTCTACCATGGCCCACCCATGATGAGCAGTCTCCAGCAGAGGACCCCTTAGGGCACCAGCCACAGGTCTTGGTGTACTCCCCACCCTTGGCCTCATCTGGCAGCTCAGGCAGCTCGGCCCAACACCTGCCCCACCAACTCTGAGCCTGCACCCCAAGCAGGGAGGAAAGGCCAGGGATGGCCCCAGCAGTGAGAAGCTCCAGCTTTTCCCCAGAAGAGGCCACTACACGAGCAGCCAGGCACCATGCCTCCATGCCCTGGGACACTGCAGACAGCCAGACCACCTCACCAGTGCCCGGGGCAAAGTCCAACCATTGGGAGCACCTGCCATGCCAGTCCAGTAAGCCCCACCCAGAGAGGAGGACCAGAGGGGAAGGAAGTGACATGGCCACCTGTGCCTACATCAGTTCACCACTGGGCTGCACACCTGGAGCCAGGGGCCCCCAAGGTGGGTTGGAGGCCCCCCTTCCCCTTCTGTCTCTGCCCTGCCTGGCCGAGCTCCCTTTTGCCTGCCAAGTTTCCCACCCCAACATGCAGGGAGGTGGGAGGCAGTCCAGAACTTTACTGCGTGGCCAGCACTCTCCCAGCTAGGCAGCCAGGGGCCCGTCACATGCAGGGAAACTTGTGGATGGCAGCAGCAATCTCCTCCTCAGCTTCAAAGGTCAGGGACTCAGAGCATAGGTGGAGATACCCCTCCAGGTGGTGGTGCACATTGTAGACAAGTGCAGGGTTGGCTGCTGCACCTATCAAAGCTCAGGACCCCATGCCAGATTCTCATCTGCACCCAGGGCACCATGGTGATCATCATCAGCAGGGTGTAGTGGGTCAGGCATCACTCAATGGAGTCAAACAGCTCTTTGCAGTGTGCCCGGGGGACTCTCAACAGGGGCATGCTTGGAACAGAGGCCACATGACTGCAGCCCTGTCCTGGGGTACCTCTCTGAAGAGGGCAGTCAGGGCCAGTATGGGGGTGTCACCAGCTCCATGTCCCAGCCAGGCAGAAACCCTTCATCCCCAGAACTCAGGTGCCATGGGCCTAGCAGCACAGGAACAAACAACCTGGCCTACAGAAAGGAGAAGTGGGTGGAGTTGGTCTGGAGCTGTCATGCCAGCTGCTGGCAGGAGCTAGCCCTGGCCCAGTGTGTGTAGGGGATGGGGAAGGCATGCTGCCTGCCACAAGTGGCAAGTGCCCTGCCTGCCCCCCTGGAGGGAGTGGGGATGGAGGGCTCGGCCAGCAGCTGCCTGTAACCGGGCCTGCCTGGCCAACTGACCATGGTCCCTGTGCACCTGTGCACACAACCCCCAATCTGAGGCCAAGGCAGTGTACAGCCTCTTAGTACAGTACATGTTATCTCTGAAATGTTGCAAATTCTCACAAAGAGCCTCTCTGTCCTTGCTCTGAGGGACCAGCAGCTGCATGCAGGGAAGAAGGATCAGCTGCCAGTAGAGCTGCATCTGTAAGACCACCACCGCCATTATCAGACTTATTCATGTGCCACCTCTGCCAGCAATACACACAGAACCACACTCTGCTGCTGGACTGGCTGGTCACAGCAGTGGAGGTGTGGCTCGTGGGCTTATGGGCCTGGCAAGCCCAGGACCTGGAGCAAGAGCCTCTGGAGCAGGAGTGAGAGATGGCCCAGGAGAACCATGCACTCCACGAGAGTCTCCTTGCCCTCAAGTAGAAGCACATCACCCTCCTCAAGAGGCTGCTCAAGGCCCAGGAGCAGCAAGCCCCCATGGTGGCCCAGGCAGTGGTGACAACTGAGGAAGACCACCAGGTGCTGGACACCATTTTGGCCATGGTGGTCAGCTTCATGCTGCCTGGTGCCGAGCTCTCAGCCCTGTCTGGCCCCTGGCAGCCACTCTTAGCCCAGCCCCTGCCCCCGCCCTGCCGCTGGCCCTGCTTGCCCCCTGGCAGCTACCTGTGGCCCAGTGCCAAGCTCCCCAGTAGGCACTGGGAAGTTCTGTAGGTGGCACTGGGATGAGGTCCAGTGCCACCTGCAGTAACTAGGCCCCCCTGCCCCCACTTCTGAGCTGGGTCCCCTGGCACCCTGGCCCCCCACCTGGGCCACTGCCCTCTGCTCACCCATCCACTGTGTGGCCCCTGAGTGGGAGCTACCTGCAGCTGGGCCAGCTCCACACATGGGTCCTGATGGCCCTGGCCCCATGGTGGAGGAGGGGGAACTGGACAGTGCCTGCTTTTGCCCCTGGATGAGCCCCAAGCCTGCTGTCCTTGCCACAGTGTCTGCACTAGTGGTAGTGCTGCCAGACTAGTGCCTCTCTCCAGAAGACTTGCCATAGAGGCCTCCACCCAGCTGTTCGCTCCTTAACAGTTGACAAAGCACATTGTACATAGTTGCACAGGAAATGTGTCCGTCATTGTTGGTGTATGTTGGGATTAGGGAAGGGTGTGTTGCTGGGAGGAAGGGAGGTAGGGAGGGAGGGGTTGTGTTGTTAGGGAAGGAGGTGGGTCTGCTATTGTCTGGTGGAGGGAAATAATTTTGCTGTTTTTCTAGCTTTCTGTAGTGTGCATAGTCTTGGGGTTTCTCTGTGGGCCTGTGGTCCATGGGTAGCCTTTCAGGTGCCCTACTGCAGGGGTGGAGGAGGAGGCAGTCCACAAGTGCATCATGGACATGGTGCCCTGGCCACCACTGCTGTAGGGGAGGGCAGGGAGAGTCCATGATGTGCTGACCACAGACTCCCCAGACAGCATTCCCTGCCAGCCTGAGCCTACCCCCGCAAACCCTGGCACCCCAGCAGCTTTGGGTGGAGTCTGCAGCTCCCCCTGGCTGCTTCAGGGAGGCAGAGTAGGGCAGGAGCATCCCTGGATCTGACTGCTTCCACTGAGTACAAATCTGTGCCGGACAGATGTGTTCCTAGCCTATGCTTAATATGCCTTAATTTAGTGCGCAGTAACCTTAAGACATATTAATCACATGTTTAGATGCACCCAGTAAGGAACACATATTTGAATAGCATTAAAGTCACGTAATTAATTTTCAGCTACAAATATAGGTTGGTAGAAGATCTCCTAAGCTTTGTGGCACACTTTCAAAGTAAGGGCACCAGATCAAGAAGGCCAGTTCTTTACAAAAAATGGAAAGCGGGGTGGGGGTGCAAAGGGAGTCCGTCATGGTTTTGTTAATGCTGGTCATTTACAATGATTTTACAATGTAGGTCTTGCTTCCATTTATTCAGTAGTGCAGGACAGCTCCCCAGATGGCTTCCTTAACTACACTATATTTTCTTAACCTTTCTGAATGGCTGGAATTTTCAACTGTATTCTACCATTTGCTAATTATGATTAGTGGTCTAAGAAAATGAGTAGGCAGAATATATATTATTTTAGATATCTAACTCTTGAAGATAATGTTGATCACCACAATTTTGTCAAAGATTTTTTTTTTTTCTCCCAAACAGCTTCAGGGAATAAGAGTGGGGTTGCAACTTTCTGGTTCTAGCTTTCTGCTTCATTTCATGGCCAAATACAGATTAGACTCTAATCTGATTTGTGCCAGCTGGCAATGTTCCCACCAAGAGCTATGCAGAAGGGAAACCTGCCATGTTGGCTGAGACACAGGTGTGAATCAGGGTTGCCCAGAGATAGGTTTGCTACTGTTTAAACTAAAGAACTAAATTCGATAGCTGAGGAATGTAAAAGACAACTGTTCTTTGTGGATTATGTACCAAGGGGATTCTGATCAGTGGTTTTCACAGACACTATTGCTGTACCTCTCCTCTCTGTTCCTGTCCTTGTATGCTCACAAACTATGGTGTAAAAGCCATCTACATAAAGTCTTCACTCACTAGAGACTTCCAGAGCCTGGGAGAATCCCTAGCATAGGGGGAAAACCCCTTTCCATCTCCCTTGTACAGCCAAAGCAGCACAAAAACCTGTAGTGGCCAGAGATTGTGGTCCAGTGGGTGAGAGCCTATTATTTTAATTTCTTTTACATTTGACCTACATTTTTCACCATTATGTGCGCTGAAGAGAAAACTAAATTAGGGAAGGAAAAAGAAAATCAAGCTGCATAGAAAAATTCTATACTTAAACTATGTCTGTAGATTCTTGGCATATTGCTATTGGCTTTGTTATGTATTTTCTTAAAGTAATTTCTAGCTACTGATAGTTCTACCTGTACCAAAGTAGTTTGTTCAGCTAATTAAGTAGTCCATGATGCTCACAGAAGCATGATAATAAAACTCAGACTGCCGAGCACAGTGCACTTAGCCTTGTAAACAGACACTTTGAAATACTGCTGTGGTTTCAAACCAATTTGAGTAGGAATAGCCCTTAATTATTTTTCTTATCCTGTGAGAGAATGGGCTATTTGTCAGTGTTTAGAAGAATGTCCTTTTCATTTATTTTACATTTATTTTTAAAGAAACATTACTTTTTAGTCAAAGGCTGTATTTTTTTTAAAGACCCACTGTCATTTTGACCTACCAGTCTCTTGTACTCATCCACAAACTTGGATTGCAATTCACAATCTTGGGCAAAGAGTTTAGCCATTCCTTTGTTTGTAGTACATTAGCAGCCGCTGTATATTCTTGTTCTCCTGGAGGTGTCTTCTGAATAAGCTGTCCTCCTATGAGATGCAACTGAAGCCTAGAAGAATGATCCCTACCCCCAAAACAGAATAAGAATTTGATGAACCATTAAGTCACAGTTATTAAAAAGAAATATAGCCAATTTAAAAGGGCACTAAAATGGGCAAAAATAGAATGTGGTGCACTGATAATAAATGCTATATTTCTGTCATGTAGAAAATATTTATACTGCCTCCATTAGGAAAATGTCCTTGGGGACATATTATGACACTGATTCAATTTCCTGTTCATAATTCCATCATGCAACCCCTAGTGGAAATTATGGTATACCCTGCTAGGATCTTTCAACTAGTCTCTGTTGGTTTTTACTGGTCTAAACATGTTTTACTTGAAGAACAAATAGCCTTAAAATAACTAAAGTAATACGCAAGAGGCAAGGATTTCTTTGGGTGATATTTTTTATTGAATTAACTGCATAATTAAGATAAGAGTTAGACTAACTTTTGAATGCAAGGCATTTTTCTTCAGGTCTGCTATTCTGTTCCAATATTTAGTTGACTACCTGGAACTCAGGAACCAGATGAGATTTTTTAGGAATTTCCACCAACTTTTTCTGTATCTAGGATATAATCCTTTTGAATTTTGATTTACAGCTAGTGGAACCCTTGACACCAAGTGGTACTGCACCAAACCAAGCACAACTTCGTATTCTGAAGGAAACAGAGCTAAAGCGAGTCAAGGTCCTTGGCTCTGGAGCCTTTGGAACTGTGTATAAGGCAAGTATGATCTCATTTCTGGTTTGAGCCCTACAGATCACTGAGTGTTGCCTCACAAGTATGGCACCAATTTCTTGGCAATACAAAAAATAAACCTGATTCAAAATCTCAGGTCTGCCTACACACAAACATCCAGGAACTTGACATCTGGATATGTTTATATGTGTTGAATGCATCTTCAGCCTCATCAATTTGTTTGTAATTTGATTAGCATAGACACAAAGGTCATTTATACATGTGCTTCAAGGCTGGGTGGAGAGGTGGGGGGACACTTTAATTAGAGCACTTCCGAGAGCTGCTCTAATTAACGTGCCTGAAGCATCACGTGTATCAGTGTGTCCATGACAAAAAATGGTGGCGGGGATGCTTTAACTAAAATTCATGGAACAAGCTTTACTTAAAGCACACCCACTGCTATTTATCAACACAGAGAAACTGATAGACATGACACTAGAGTCTGCTGGAGCATGGTAATCACCACACTCCAGCAGACTCGATTACAAGTCTGCTCCGATTCACTGTAATTAGTTTGTCAGAGCAGCCTCACTGCATGTGTATAGGCACCCAAAGTTGCACCTTCTAAAGTAATGTCACACACACACACACACGCATATAGGAGGAGTACACAGGATGGGCAGTCACGAAGTTAAAGTATAGGACTGGAAATGTGTGTTTCTGATTCAGTGACTGAGGTGACGTGTCCTTTGGACAAGCCAGGGAACTTATGTACCTACTTTACCAAGCTACAAATACATGTATTCATAATCTATAATGAGGCATAATTAGCCAAGAGTTTTTGCTTCACAGAAAAGGTTAATTGTAACCAGATAATTTTCATAATTAATATTAATGAGAAGAGTGTAGTAACACAGGCCAGAATAGGGAAAAGAAAAGGTTAAAGAAGACTTAGATAAATTAGCCGTATTCAGGTCAACAGGACCTGATGAAATTTATCCTGAAGTGCTTCAGGAGCTATCTTATTATTATCATTAGCAATAATTTTTTGAGAACACATGTGTAGTGGGTTTAATAAAAACAAGCATACATAAATGAAAAGAACAATATGCTTTCATTTATGGAGTGTGACTGAATCTGCCTCCAGAGGATGGCTGTGGCATCCCTGTCATGGCGGGGTCCGTCAGGAGGGCCGTGATCTCCTCGAAGTCCCTCGCTCCGTGTCAAGGCCGGCCCAAGGCACCCTCTAATTCTCGCCCGCCACGTCTTGTTGGAGT